GAAGGGGAAGAGGAGAAGGGAGGAAGGAGAAGGAAGAGGAAGGGGAAGAAGGGAGGAAGGGGAGGGTGGAAGGGCAAGGGGGTAAGAGAAGTGAGGGGAAGGGCAAGGGGGGAATAAGGGGCGGGAGGAGCAGAGGGGAAGAAAGAAGAGGGAAGAGGAAGAAGCGGGGGGAAGGAGAAGAAGGAGGGAGGAAGAGGGGGAAGAGAGGAGACATGGACCCCAGAGATTCTAGGAATTAGTTTCAAAAGGTGCTTTTCTGAAAGGTGCTTTTCATCTCTTTTTCGTTTTATTTTCTCTGGTGTGGTGCTAAGTTGAGAGGTAATGTCCCCGTTCAGTAGCTCTCAAAAGCTGCAGGTTCTCCTTCTGCGTTTTTATTACTATTATATTTTCTTATCCTGCTCTCTTGGGCGTCCAGTCTCATGTAGGCTGCAGGAAAAGAGGCTGTGGCCACTTCTGTCTGCTCCTACTATGGGATTATTAAGGTGCTCTGTTCCAGCATAGCTCTCTTCCAGGCACAGCTCTCTTCCAGGCACAAGCACACCTGCTTCAGTTTTGTTGTAGATGGAAACTTTAGAATTGCATCCCTCTTGCTGCATATGCATCCCGTATGCAGGCATAGTGTGCCTGCATGTCTTGACATAGTTGAGATGCAAGACTATGGAGAGTCGTGCTGTTTCTGCCATGGTTGAGATTGCTATTGAAGAACATACTGCCTGTTTGTCATGGTCATCCCAAAAGAATGTCGTACACCTAAAAGAACTAAGCAGACTGGCGGGACTGACAGTTTAGAATTTCCCCCTGCCGTCGGGAACAATTGACCTATGCGGCATAGTATGGGAAGATTAGGAACTGCCTGCAACAGTCTGTAAGTACCCAAACTGGGGCATGAGATGTGTGATACCAAAGAGCTTTTTTTGAAACTGTTTGGGAAATGTATGTTAGACATATGTCAGAAAAGATTGATACTCCAATACCATCCATTAATTTTAAGTGGTTAGAGTGCTTGGCTGGAATACAATAATGTAATGGAGAGGTACAGGATTATCAATACACCTTTAGTTGAGGCTAGATTCTAGCGGCAAATGGTTAGTCTTCTGCAGGGCTCACTAGGTAGAATGTTCAGTCTTGTGTCATGTAGAAGAATGGGCACTGCTGATCTTTCATACGTATGGCTGAAGCCACTTTGCAGAAATGAAGACTAGTTCTTTCTGTGGAAGTGGAAAGTATGTGTTAGAACAAGTTGTGCTTCTTGAAATAAACCTTAAAGCTTCCATTCCTATAGCTTTTACTCATGTGAAGCTGTACTCCATTGCAGTACAATGCCTAAGAAAGTTTTTGTATATTTGTACCTTCCCGGATGATGTGATCAACTAAAATTGATATGATAAATGGAATGTTAATTGTTTATGTTTTTGACATGTAATTAAGGTCAATTAATAAAATAGAGACAGATCTCAGTGTTATTTAGTGCAGTTCTTGAAGACTAAAAGTTGTTGGGTATTATATCTCATCTTTGTTTCACTGTATCATGTAAGCTAATCTGTGTTGTTTTCTCCTAGACATCAACCTGTGACTAGGCCCAAAACATTAGAGACGGAAAGCAGCTACTGCTTGTTGTCAAACCTTGCCTTACAAGAATTTTATAAAACTGTCTTTTTGAAAACATAATGTGGATTAAAAGGAAAGCAAATGGTAGCTGTAATGATTATTTGTGAAAAAAATAATCTCTCTGTCTATGTGTACCAGGTAAAACAGGGTTGCAGACAAACCTGGAATTGTGTTTGTAGCTCAGTATGCCCTCCATTTGTACCTGCCTTCATGCAATGATGACTATTTGGAGTTTATATTGGTTTTGATTAGCTACTCACTACTTAGTCTTCATTTCTCATGTCATAGTCAGTCTTTGCTAAGTCTACCATCATGGGGGATTTTTCTGTAGCCAGGAAGTTGTATTGATAGCACAAACATTTTTACTTGTCTTTTGTCTTGGTATACAGTATCCCTTCAGGATTTTTTTTTTTAAAGGAGATGCTTTTTTAAAAGGAGACGCTTCATCTTACTATAGTTCAGCATTAGTATTTTGCCAATGCCGTTCTGCTCTCAGTCAGTGTCAAGAATGACTTCAAAGATGATCGTAATTGAGCACATATCACCGTAACAGTGGAGTGCTCCACTGTGTACAACACTTGCTTTTTAGTGGCAGGTGTCTAGTAAAGATCTGCATCTAAGCATCTATGCATCTGAGCATAAGTCTTATTTTAAACAGTGATATAATGAAGTCTGTCTTTAAAGTATAGGTTGAGAACTTTATTTTCTTGGTCTCTGTTCTAGATGTGTGACTTTTTGTGATCTTAGTGATCTGTGAGAAAATTTAGGGGACAAAGGCAAAGTCAATACAGGTTAATATTCTCCCGAATGTTCTTGTGTCTCCCACCCAATAAAACTACACATGTACTATTACATTTCAGTGTCAAGTGTGGCCTGAAAACCTTCTGAGTGTACAGTACTGATTTTAAATTGAGTTTTGGAATTAAAGTAGCCATCAGCAAAAGTTAACTGTGTGTGCTGGACATTGAAATGATGGTTCCAGTATGTGTCAAACTGATTATTAGGTTGGACAGCTGTAGATGTATAAATAAGATATTGCATTTTTTATATTAAAAAGAAAAAAAAAGGGTCTAACGGATATTAAGCATGTTTTGATTTGTTCCAGTAGCCGGATCGAGCTGGGAGATGTGACTCCACACAACATTAAGCAGCTGAAGCGGCTAAACCAAGTCATTTTTCCTGTCAGCTACAATGACAAGTTCTACAAGGATGTACTGGAGGTTGGCGAACTAGCCAAATTAGGTACAGATCTTCTTGCCAGTAACTGTGGGTTTTGGTGGCTGAAAGCTTACCAGTGCAATCCTTAATGGTTTTGAGTAATAGTTTCATCTATTTTAATGAATGAAAGACAACTGTTTGGGAGCCCCCAGAAAGAGCTGCAGTCCTAAGCTTCAAGTGTTTCCGTTTTATTGGAAATCGGTCTGTTTTCTATTAAGACAGATGTGTCCTGCCAGTTTGCAACCGGAAGTCATTGCTAGTTATTTTGAACTCCAGTAAGTCAATTGTTCTGTCAAAGCATCATCAGAGACTTCACTCAAAATCATACATCATGGCTGACATATCTGGTACTGAAGAACTGGTAGCAGGGAAGGAAAGAGGATTTAGGGCACAAATGATAGCTTGTAAATGCATGCAGTTTGAGACTTGTAACTAATAATACTTTGTTGTTTCCTTCCTTGGCAGCCTATTTCAATGATATTGCAGTGGGAGCAGTGTGCTGTAGGGTAGATCACTCCCAGAATCAGAAGAGACTGTATATCATGACACTTGGATGCCTGGCACCCTACCGAAGGCTAGGGATAGGTAAGGAGGAGCTTCTTTCCTACCTCAAGTAATCAAAGAAACCTCATTGCTTTGCACCCTTTTCAATGCTCTTTCAACGTTTTCTGGTATTTTGAGCAAGAGGGTCTTAACACTTTCGGAACATTGTTTTTTTTTGGTGGTGGTGTGGGTTTTTTTTTGTTTTGTTTTTTGTTTTTGTTTTGTTTTATTTTTGGTGGGGGAGGGTTGGGAAGATTTTTTGAGGAAAGAATATGAGTTGGTAGGCTCGTGTTTTCCTGCCTGTTCCAGAAGTGGACTATTTTGTAGAACTTGCAGGATTCCATGTATTCTTTTACTTGTATTATCAGCCTGTGATGTAAATACTCTGCTTTTATAGATGTGAACATTAAAGCGTAAAGATAAAAATTAATTTATGTCAGATATATAGCAAAGGCACACCACATATAGAAGAAAAACATGGATGTCCATAATCAGGTCATCTTTTAACCCTTCCAAAATGTTATTGTTCTAATTGTTATTTATTTTAGCTTTCCGTTACTACTAATAATGCTGCTCACAGATGGCACTTGTTTTCTATCTATATGCGTGCTAATGTGTAGTTTTTTATTGTTGCAAGTCCATAGGCTAAATCAATAACCAGTACCTACAGTAATCCATTTGCTTTGGACAAAGTGGAAATAAAAAATAACTTATTTTTATTTCTTTTACAATTGCTGTCATCATAAAAAGTTAAGAGGAGTGTCATTAATTTTATATTTTGTTTTGACCACATCGTGAGTTGTGCTTGAGACTTTGAAGTTAACTTTTAGATGAGGTACTTCATAGATATGCTTCTAGACTGCATTTTTCCCCCCAAAAAACAGAAGATAATTTTTGTGAACAGTCAGAAAGATGGGAAGTCTAGATAGACCATATTTGATTTGCCTTTGTTTCAGTAAACTTCCATCCTATGTGTATGAGCATGCAAAAATCATATACTATTTAGAGAGTTGGTCTATTAAAATCAGGATTATTTTTAAATTTTTTCAAGAAATCTTACCAAAAAAAGCTGTTCAAAGTACCTTTCTTATAAACTTAAAAGTAACTCCTGCTTACAGTGATGATTTTGCAAGGTGTCTTCCTTTCAGATAATATTTTTGCAGTTCCAACTTGCTGCCAGATTTTGATGCTCACAGATGACATCTTCAAACTATTTTTTTTCTCTGATTTGGGAGCATAATCAAATGCTCTGACAACAGATTCTCAGCCATTTTAGGCTACCTACTGTTTTCTGCCCCTGCTCAAGAAAGCACTTAGGAAGTATGTACTTCCTAATGTACCTAAGTGCACTTCTGGTTTTCTTAAGTATCTCTTTTACCTTTGACAGGAACTAAAATGTTGAATCATGTCTTAAACATCTGTGAAAAAGATGGCACTTTTGACAACATCTATCTGTAAGTAAATGACTTGCTCTTGTGCCTTTTGGGAGAGGTGCCAGAGACATAATTGGAAGCAAAGGGAGAGGAACATTAAAGCATTTTATCATCAGTTTCAGTGGGGTGCTGAGTGAAACAAAACATCTTGTCTAGTAAGCACTTTAGGGAAGCCAAAGATGGCGTTCTGCACTTGTGGTCCATTGCTGAGAAAAGTCAGAGTTTGCTACCTTTATAAAGACCTGTAAATCTGCTGAGTTTAAGAGCAGCTTAGTTGCAAACTAGTGATCAATAGTAGGATGACATCATATTTTAAAGATTTTCTTTTTCTTTGTTCTCCACAAAAAAAGAAAAAACAGTGTTCTCCACAAAATGGAATATGCTGCAAGTCTTTTATGCAGTTTTGCTGCATTTGCTGTCTGGCTTTTATGACACTAATATGTGGGTCAGATCAGATGTGTTTGCAAACACATCTGAAACTCTAGGTTCACATTTAAGCTTGACTACCTATTCCTGTTCTTACATTGTGCCAGGTTTGCTGTTTGTGCAGCAACACAATAAAGTGAGTCAGTGACCTGATCCAGTCGGGAAAGTGGGTTTTGTGTTCTGGTTCTCTTTTAAATCTACTACATGGCTGTGTGAGCACTTGAGGTGATGCGGGAATGAGAGCAAGCACTAGGGGAGAGGAGAGAGCTGCTTAAAAAGGCACCACCATCCTAATAGATCCCTATGGAACAAATTCTAGCCTGAAATCCATAGCAACTAAGGCTGATGTAAGTGAGAAATGCCACAGCTTTGCTTCTTCTCTCTGCTGGTTACATACTTTTGCCTTTTCCTGTGTGCTGATGCCTGTGACTGCCTAGTGAGCTGGATGAGGTTTGAGCCAGATCGTTTCTCTTAGCCAGCTTTCTTACTTATTCCCCTCTTCCTAGTTATACAGTACAAGTGTGGTACGCTGTTATGAACAGGCCCTCAACAGCTGTGACTTGGGTGGATTTATGTTACCATGGAACTGCACCCAGAACTCTAAACTTCCCAAGATGCTTAGTGAGGAGCTTTTCATACCCTGATATCACTAGGCAGAGCGACTTGCTCTTTAAGCTTAGACCTGTTGTGGCAGGGAGGTGAAAATTCTTCCACATTCTGTGCTGTCATAGCTTTGTGTCTTTCGGGTGAGGAGGACAGTTATTTTAACGACCAGTTTGATTAAAGCTACTCTTCAATTGTATTCTTGCTCCACCCTTAGAGGTAGTGATGGTGAACTTGTTTGCTAATTGGCACATGGGTGTTTTTTTTTTTTTTTTTTGGCTTTTGCACACTACTATGTGCACAGTGGAAGAATCATTTACTGTTTTTAATGCAAAAAAACCAAGTTCTACATAATCCTTCCTTTTCATCCCCAGAGTAGTATTCTAGTGTGCTATTAAGTAGCTCCCAGGATTAGGCATAACCAAATTTGTTAGCAGCTTGCTGGTTTTATTGCTGTGTCTGTTCTTTGTGATCTACATACTGAACATATATGCTGATTAGGCATGTATTTTGGTGTCATTGGTGATTTGTCATAATCATGAAGTTCCCTTTTAGATATTTGGTATTTATTTGGTTTAATATTAAGATTTTTGTTGTTGTTTTTCTGCTCTTGCTTTTCAAGCTACTTTGGTTCTGTGATTACTTTATGTAGCATGTTGTCATCACAAAGCTCATACAGTGCCCACTGAATTTTGGGAGCATGTAATGAACCCTTGTTGCTGAGCCAAACCTTTTTTTATTATTATTTTTGATACTTGTGAAAGTAAATTACCTCATGGCTGTTTGTCTTAGAAGCCTTGAAATTCTTGGATATATAATACTAGCAAGATCTGTAAAACTCTGGGGAATAAAGAGGGAAAAGATTTTGTAAATTCATAGGGCTTCATTGTACCCTGATAGCTTTATGGGAGGAGGAAGGGAAAGCAGCAATGAGCATGGAGTTAAAATCATATCAAAAATCCCATTAAAACCTTCAGCAGTACTGTGTTGCCTTACCTATGGTAGGGGTCAACACTCAGACTAGTGTTTTGGGGTCATCTGAGGAATGTTACTACAAGAAGTTAAAAACAGTAAAAGTAGGTTATGCATTTCCATAAAATATTTATGATTTTTAAGAAAATTTGAAATTACTGAGCTTCAGGGCCTCTGCTATGTACAATCACAGAATGGTCGAGGTTGGAAGGGACCTCTAGAGATCATCTAGTCCAACCCCTCTGCTCAAGCAGCGACACCCAGAGCACGTTGCACAGGGTCGCAGCCAGGCTAGTTTTGAAGATCTCCAGAGAAGGAGACTCCACAGCCTCTCTGGGCAGCCTGTTTCAGGGCTCTGTCACCCTCACAGTACAGAAGTTCTTCCTCACATGGAGATGGAACTTTGTGTGTTTCAATTTGTATACATTACCCATTGTGTGTTCCTTGAAACAGCTTCACTGAAGGAAATATTTGCCATTTCTTCTCACAATGATTGCCAAAGGCCATCCGGAAACTGTGTATTACTGCAGGCTTAAATTGAGAAGACCCTGATTTCCAGTCCTGAACTGTAAAAGCTATACCATCGTTCCTTTCTCTGTTTAGTTGCCTCTCTTTCATATCCTGTTTATACTCTTTATTCTTTGACAATCTTGAATGTGGAGGCAGCATATTATACCACAGAAAGTTCTGATATCTGTCTCTCTATCCTTCTTTCTGTCCCAGGCATGTCCAGATCAGCAATGAGTCAGCAATTGACTTCTACAGAAAGTTTGGCTTTGAGATCATTGAGACAAAGAAAAACTACTACAAGAGGATAGAGCCAGCAGATGCCCATGTGCTGCAGAAAAACCTCAAAGCCCCTGGTCTTGGCCAGAACGCAGATGTGCAAAAGACCGACAACTGAACAAACCCCCAACGAACACTTTCTTGCACTTGCTTGTCGCCAAATAAGGAGAGAGAGGCCTATTGGTTTTTTTTCCCTTTTCATCCTTCCTAACTTTTTTCCTTCACCTCTTCCAACAAAATGTTATGCTTCTTCCAAGGACTGTCCAATCATTTTTTGTTTGTTTTTAAACCCCTCCTTCTTTCTAATTTTTGTTTATGGTGGGAAGAGGTGTGCAGAACTCTTTAGTCTGAGATGTGGAGGGCTTGAGCACGTTTTCCTAATGGCAAGTTTGTATTAGAGAAATTTCTTTTCAGTAAGAAGAATGTAAATGTGAGAAGAGAAAGGAAAAACAATATCTTGTCCTTGATTTCTACATGATTATGTTTCTTTTTATAATATACAGGGTACTTTAGCACCACCACCCTGCATGCCTTTGAATGTTAAATCAGTAATTCCCATTCTTCCTCTTAATTCCCCCTTCTCAAAAAAAGCATGTTTAGTTCTTTCCAATATTTTTGAGTATAGTGTTTTCCTCCATGTTTTACTGAGAAGGGCAGGCTACTTTACCATACCGTTTCACTTTGCCCGGGCTTATCTTTTGAATGCCTTTTTTTTTTTTCTCAGTACTCCTCACCCAAGCTGGTGCTACATTTCTTAATTGAGAAGATGGTTCAGAGTGGTCTTTGTGGTTTTCCTTATTTTCTTTTATCCAACTGCCAGCAAACTTCCGCCAGAGTTCAAGATGGTGTTGGCAAGAGTCACTTCATAAAATTATTAATCTTGATGAAAGATCCTGGATTGAGGTGTAGTGCTTATCAAGAGACAGGTTTACCTGTGTTATTGGGATAGCAGTTGTGATTGTGACCATTTTACCTACTTTGATCATATCAGTGAGTACCTGTGTCCAGATAATTTTTGCCACAGCTACTAAATCTGTGGTGCCAAATCTAAGGTGGGGAAAGGATTGAGGAAATCAGGCAGCAAGACTGAGAAGGCAAACAAGAATCTGACCCTAATTGCATAACTTTGCAGGGATCTTCTGGATTTGGTTGGGATCTGCTTGGCTTGCTGTGTTTATATGCTCCTTAGAAAGGAAGTGGTTAAGAACTGCATGTTTTACTCCTTTGAAGACTCCCCCCACCTTCCCTACTAAGTGGCAATAAGGCAATTCTCTGGCAGATTGCTCTATGATGCATCAGAGGAAGCGGCATATACTAGGCTTTGTGGGTTTGGAAAAATAGGCTGACTGCCTTCTTCCTAGTACTGTAATCTCAAAACTACAGTAAATTCTTCTAAGCTCTGCTTTGCATCCTTTCATGCTTTATTTGTGTGAATATCCGTGCATCTTTCTATGCACTGCTGCCAGCAGTTTTATGTATGCCAATGCAAACACCAACTTGAGCTTGGATTCTTCTCCAAGCATCTGAGAGAGTGCACTGATTTGAGACAACATCAACCTACCCATCTCCCAAATAGATATTAAACTGCATTCCTTTCCTGTTAATATTTTTAAAGTCTAAATCTTCATCTGGAATTTATCTGCTTTAAAAGCCTCCAACCTATAGTGCACGTTGCAGCATGCATCTTGTTCACAGGTGCTGTCTGGTCATTATACCGTGACTTGGGAACCAAGAATTTCAAGATGGGAGTTGTGCATGAGGCAAGGGAGGGTTTTCTTCAGTCCATGTTATACAGCCTTCGTTACCTGAGCGGTGACTAAACAAGCTACTTCAGAATTACTACCACTTTCCCAGAGGTGTGTAGTATTTTTTAGGTCCTGACAGACCTGTGCTGGAAAATGGTTTCTCTGTTTGCTGGGTTTGCACTAATTGAGTTGTGGTAATGGGCAGATCTCTGTCAATGAAAGCCTCTCTGCATGGCCTGAGCACCTGTGTTTGCAGCACTCTAGCAGACTCTGGCTAGAAAGATGTAAACAGTTTCCTGGGCCAGAGGATCTAGTTTTGAGAAAAACATACTTTAGCACTGCTAGGACCTGCCTTCGCTAGTTACCTTGGCAGTTCCAGGATATTCCTAGAAGGGGATATATTGAAGCACAATTAGCTTGTCATATGCCAACATAGTTTCCCTGGCCATCTGTAGACTGGACTGAGAGGATTACTTGGAGGCAGATAGTGTTGTATTTGAGGATGTATGTGCAGCACAGCTGTAATTCCAACCATAGTTGCCTCTGGTGCCAAGCAAAGTGCTCTTCATTCTTCTAGAACTAAGTGATAAGTGTTTGGGTTGAGTAGATGGGTGTGGGGATATGAACTCTTAGGATTTGCTGTTGTTGTAGGCTTCTACAAATCAATGTATTTCACAGACAGTTTTCTTTCAGGCTTAAAAGTATGAGTCTGATGTCTGAATTTACTTGGATTAACTTTTGTTTCTGTCTCTTTTTGCTTTGGGCTGCCATCGTTCTATGAATGTATCCCTAAAAAATCTTAGAGCTTCTGTTCCACAGCAAACCTGCATTGTCACAACTTCTGAAACAGTACTTTGTAGGAGGTGGAAGGGAGAGTAACCACAAATCTTAAGAATTCCTTCTCCCAGGCTATTCATCCTGGAAAATGCTTCTTGAATACAAGCTATAAACTGAATATCTTAGAAAGCTGTGTCCCTGTACATGGAAGTGAAGGTCAGTAGTTCTGGATGACAAACAGTTGTATTTTTGACCATATTTGGCATGGGAGGAGAACTGTATCTTAGTGCTGTATCTGAACACTGAAATTGAGTGAAGTATAAGATTACTGTGGAAAACTTCTGTTACTCTTTATGTTGATGCAGCAGGACCTCCTCCTACTCCTAGCTTGAAAATAACAGCTTATGAACAATAGAATTTTCTTAAAGTTGGGAATTTCAGTGGAAAAAACAAACAAACAAAAAACAACAACAACAACAACAACAACAAAAAAAAACCAAAACACTAGCACTTCCTCTTTGGGATGAAGATCTAGCAAGAAAAATGTATGTGACCTAACAGCTTTAGAATTATGTATATACAAGATATTCATGAATCTCTGCAACTGGTTTTGTCATATGTCAGTTGAAGCATGAAGATATTACCTAAAAAGAGTGCTATTGGAGGAAACTGTGGTACGGGGAGAAAAGAATCATCCAGGAAAGATCCCTCATTTTGGGGGAGGGACAAGGAAGAGAATTTATTTTGTGTATACAGAAACAGGCTGAGTTTATATGAGCAGCTAATGGTTAAATCTGCCAATTAAATATGACATACTGTTACAATTGAAACAATCTTATTTTGTTAATTCTTGATGGTGCCCTGTGATATCTAGTAAAAATTGAATCCCCCAAACATACATTGTTATGTTCTGCCGCATGCTGTAATCCAGGGTCAGCTGCTATGCACAAAGTGTGTTTTGTAAAGTGTTTGCTGTCTTGGATATTTCTTCTGAATCTGCAACTGCTTCCGAAGTAATTTGACTAAAACCACCTCTGATCTCTTGAGTTAAGATATAGTCAGAGGTATACTGTATGCAGTTGACACAAACATTCTCAATGTTATAAGTTCAGTTACAGGGGGAACAAATTATTTAGAAATAAGGTGGTCCACTTTCTAATCTATATCATTGCCCTTGTTGTACATCAGGAGCATGTTTTTGTTTTTCTCAAACTCTTTAGAAATATCATTCAGAATAAATGTGCACTATTTGAGTTATATTCATGACTTGTGTGCATTTTTTTGCAGTTCATCCCTTTCCCGCCTGAAATCAGATGTAGGATATTCATAAAGTGCTTCACAGGCATGTAACTCCAACTCTTGATGTGAATTGTGCAAGTTTGGTGGCTATGTGATGAATGTGCTGTGTGGCCAATGACTGAAGAAAGTGGCATTTCTGAAGTTGCATGCTTTTTCTCAGAAATCCTTGCCCATTTGTGGGCAGCGGGGGAGGGGAACAGGAACTGTCGCCTGAACTGTGTTTTCCCATCAAATAATGAACGATCTTGAAACAAAGAGACCAGGCACGAAGAACTCAGTGTTTGAGGGTTTATGGGTTAAATATTTTAATGTATTCAAATTCCATTCTATTCCATATCTGCAAAAGGAATTGGGTTTGAAATGCAGCGAATATTCTTCAGTACTAACTTTTCCCAGGAAGGGTCTTAAGTAAAACTCTTAACTATTCTGGTCCTTCTTATCTGAGTCATTCCTCCTTGGTCTGTATTCTTTCTACTAATCTTTACTGCTTTGATGTGAAGTGCCACCTATGAGGTGAGAAACATTCTCCGTAATATGGTTTCAGGAAAATCAATAGCATATCTGCTTAATTAAGTTGTCCTGGAAAGCACTTTGCCAATAGATGGAGCCAGGGCATCCATGGGAATAGTATGCAAAAGCAAAGCTCAGCCTCTGCAGGCTCCACTGACATTGAGTTGACCTGGAAGCCACAAAGGGAGGGCTTTGTCAGGACTTCAGCCTTCCTCACTTCAGTCTTGCCACCAACTGCCAAGCTGGACAACCTTTACTGTACTTCAAACTCCTAGCAGCCATTTTCCATACTGAGTGCCTTTTATGGGTTTCTGTCCTGTTTCTTTCCCCTTCCACCCTCATCCCAGTCACCTCTCTGTAACGCCTGTGGTTATTCCTTTCCTATCCAGTTACTCCTTTACAGCGAAGTCAGCTAATAATCTCCAGTACCTCTCCTCCAAAGGCTGGTTCTACTGTTTCTTTTCCAGATGAACTCCATTCCCCTCGTGGTGTTCAATGCTTGGGGATTTACAGGAGCCTTGTAGCAACTTGCATGGTTCAGTACTGTAATTTTAGCACATTTCTTTTGTTACTGTATTTATAAAACCATTATAACCTCATGACCTATTGCCTGACGTAAAACTGATCATTTTTTTCCCTGCTGTATACATCACTACCAATGGTGAATTTATTCTGCTCTTACATTGCCCAGTCACTTGATAGTGGAAGGATCACCTGTCATTCCTCATCACCCTGACTAACTTGATATTCCTCCAGCAAATTTTTGCCACATGCTCCCCTTTTCAAGGTAGTGTTGAACAGTACGGATGCCCAGCACAGCTCTGAAATTCCACTGCTGACCTCTCTCTAGTGTGAAAATGAAAAGTTTAT